ATTTCAGGAAGTGGGTTTCAGCAGCAGTGACCTGTATTGCACGGGTGCCTGCACCCTAGCACCTGGGACCCCCCCCGCCCCTCCATTACTGGCATAATGGGCTGCAGGATCAGTAGTGGGGACTTCTAAAAAGTCCTTCAAGCAGGTGAGAATCTTCCCCCCGCTTCCTTCCCCTCCATGCTCACTGCACATTCCTTCCCATTCTTCTCCTCCTCTGCCCACCACTGCCACTGTAGCTGTCCCCAGCTGAGCTGGTGTGGAGGGGTCCAGTGCTGCCTCTGCTCTGCTGCAGCCAGGCTACATATGGAAGCTGCATTGGCTAGATACAGCAATGGCAGGAGGTGGATGGCAACCTAAGTCACTAAATGCACCTCTACAAAAACAAAGCAACACAGAGCTATGTTGCCTAGGTTGAAATATCAAAGGAACTCCAGCCCTGCAGCTGGGGAGTTTTCACACTTTGTTGAGTATGAGGAAGGTACTTTAGAGAAGCAAGGTGTCTTTTGCTGATATCTTTTGTTGGACCAACTGAATTGGTGGGGGAGATGTTTGTACCAGCAAGTCTGTCAAAGTGTCTTTAGGACTCAAGTGTGACTAGTTTCAAGGGTTACTCCAAGAGACTGTGAGACTAGCGGTCCTAAGAAAGTGCTCCCCTGGGGAATCATGACATGCTTTTAGTTGTTCTAATCCTCTAGTTCATGCCAAATGTATACTATGTACCCCCACATCTTTCCATTCCATGTGGGACAGTCATTAGGTGGAGTCAGACATGCTGCTCTGTGGTGAGTGGAAATCTCTGAAGGAAAGTTGCATTGGAATGGAGGGCCATTCTGTCTCTGAGGGTTTCCAGACAAGAGGTGTGTCTGAGTAAGCTGTACAATGTTCACTATAATGGCATTCCTCATGGTCAGATGGCCCAGGCTTCTCCAGAGTCACGTTCCTCTTGGAAGAGCAGTCTCATACTAGACCCATGATGATGTTGGGTGAGATCCAGTCTGGTAATTTAACCACAGTACCATAGAAAAGTAGGGCTGGAAGGCACTTCAGGTGATTATCTAGTTCAGCTCCCTGATCAGGGCAGGATCATCCCTGCCCAAATGGTCCCAGACCTGTCATTTCATGCCTGTCCATCCTCTGCCTAAAACTACGCAAAACTACCCTGTTGCACAACTACAAGGGTGTAACAGCTGAAAATTATGTCTGTGAGATAAAGGTGCTTGCTGAAGGCTCTATGAAGATTAGACCAAGTGTTTTTCTATCATTTGTTCAGATATTAAGCTATATGTTGTTGCTAAGAGCCTAATTAAAGTCTAAGATGTAGTGAGGCCTTGTACGTAGTATGAGGCCTAGTAAATTTAGCAAAGCCTTATAGAAGTAGTGATGGTAGGCCCTGTGGCATAGTTAAAATTAGCCTTATCAGAAGAATGCAAGGCTTGTACTGCTATTGGTCAGTCTAAGGACAGTTGAAGTAAAAAGAATCTGAATAGTTGTACGTTATCTCACAGCTCAGAAGTTATAAATTGGCTGGCACATCCAGAAATCATTTAGAAGGAAGATACAGCTCTGTGAAATGAACTACAGATTAGCTGTTGGCCTGGATTCAGTGGGCCCTTGGATCTGGAGGAGCCCAAGGACTGAATACCAGGGTCCCTCCCGGTACCTCTCGGACAGCACTGATCAGGGACGCCTGACTTTGCTGAGCTTTGTGGAAAGAGAAACTTGTCGTACATCGGGCATCAGAGGGGACTGCCGATAAGTTGCCGATGCGAATTATTATCGTCTGTCATTATCTGTCTTAGTATACTACGCGTAGTTGTGTTTTTGTTAAGTCAATAAACCTTTCTTACCTTTCTACCCTTGGACCACATTCTCAATCCCAAACCCTCTGCAGGCAGCTAGGACACAAGGGATATTGCCCCAAAACACCAAGAACACCCTAACTTGCCACAGGTAGAGCAGGAAGATGAGGCACTGTCCATGTCTTGCCACTACTGCAGGTGTTATTAAAGTACATTTGAGATGTCCAAATAAGAGAGACATGCCTCCTGAAAGAGAAAGGTAAAAAACACCACAGTTAATGCCAAACTGACCATGGGATAAAATTCCTTCCTGATCCTAAATGTGGCAGTCTGTCTGACCCTGAGCAGATGGGTATGATCCTCTATGTAGTAACTTCTGGGTTTTAGCCCCAGCTGGAGCATCAGCACGCTCCAGCCAAATCCTACTGTAGGACAGAAGGATCCATTGAGGACTGACTGATGCCCCTGCACAGTGGGTGGTGTGATGCCTAATTTCACTTACTGAACCCTGATGGGTTACTGCTTAACTGCTTTAATCTATAATTGTGTTTTCTAATATGTTCCCTTGGTCTTCTGAACTCTCTCCCCTGCTTCCCTGAAGGAGTCTCAGGTCCCCCCCATCCCAAATTTGGGGACGCATCTAAAAATTGTATCTAGCCTAGCAGTTCTCAGCCTTAGACATCCCTTCAGGAAAAGCTAGATCTTAGCTTTCACCTATTCTTCACTCATTCATGACTCGTTCTTCTTGGGAAAATAGAGCAATTCTTCTTTGGCAAAGAATTCAGAAAGACCACAGCAGGTCAGAATATTTTTGATACAGTAGGTTTCTGTTAGAAAAATCTGGGCTTATTTTGTGACTCGTGTATGTGTTTGCAGATTTAGCAGTGCTTATTGTGTGGCACCCATAACACCCTTAAAAGGATATTATGGCACCCCAGGGTACTATGACATGCTGGTTGACCATCACTGGTCCTAGCCCAGGAGACATTTAATGGGAATCGCCACGGAATGAATCCTTGCCTTGTGTTTGGTCAAGAGAAAAAAATTATTCTCTGCACTAATGTCTTGACTAATTGATGTACTTGGTAACTTACAGCTAATTACTTCCTAAGGATTTTGGAGAGTACATGCAGGCAGATATGTTGAATAATACACGGTTTGAACTAAGAGCTTCATATAAGTCTGTATGATGTCAAAGGAGAAGATAATGAAAGTGTAATTGCCCAGACCTCTGGAGGGGCATGCAGGTTTTCATCCAAAACTGACAGGCTTCTCTGAGCTTTGAATAAGACCCAAAGGTACCCAAGAACATGATGCTTGTATGCCATAATTTCCCCCTTGGGCCAAAGACTGGGTTGTGAGCCTTAATCAGTGTACCAGGCACGCTGTCAGTACTTGTACTCAGTACAGACAGAGGTAATGATGATTACAGGCAACATACGCTTTCAGAAATGGCCTTTTACAAGATAAGAAAGGACAAAATTTGGGTTTTCATGAAAAGGACATCACACCTTAATTGAGGGATGGTTTTTACTGTTTCCATAATAGTTGAGTTTGACCATAATCATTGACGTTCTCTTTTTGCAGCGGGAACATTTTTTTCATATCAATCCAATGGTCTTGCACCAACGGGAAAGAAACTGTTTGGGGCTGTGGGCTGTGCTGTGGTGCTGCCTGGACCAGAGCAAATTGGCACCAGTAAGTTTATAAAGTGGGAGTATTAAAAAGATGAAAGTGTCACCAAAGAGCTTCTTATCTTAATGTATTATGTGGAGACCCATGATTTGCAAATCCGGGTAAACTATCAAGATGATGCTGATTTCAATGAAACTGATGGGTCCCTGAGACTACGAAAGTTGCAACTAAACGACGGAGGCCTCTACAGGTACAGACTATCAACAACCACTGGCAAATGGATCCAACTGGAGGTTATCAGTAAGTCCTGTGTTTATTGATCTGCAGTTCGGTTTTGCGCTAACTTGATACAAACCTACTAATGCATGGAGGCAGTTAAACAGAAATTGCATGTACCAATGCCATGTTGTTGCATGTTGCAGTAATATAAAGGTGTCATTATGGCCAGTGTAAGAATGCAGCGAACCATGTTATACAGAAGGTTTGGTCTGTCCCATCAACTCTTGTTTTCACTCCCTATGTATGTCCTTGAGGGAGTTAACTTCTTTTGCTTAATTCTGATGATGACTTGTCCATCTATGCCAGATGTAAAGAAATTTCTTTACAGAGCTTGCTTATACATTGCTTTGGAACGGGACAGGTCCTAGCTTTTGCCAGACTCTTTTTTTATAGGAACATTTCAGATTTTGTGGAACGTTCTGACTTGTTTGTAATCTTAGGATTTCTCCATTAAAGCACGTTTGCCATTACGTTGATTATTTTTAAGGGCTGACATTGTGAGGCTGTTACTATAATTAGTTTGGGTTTCTTAAGCATCGCTTCACAAATAACAAGAATTCAGGCTAATGCAATGTATAACACGTATTCTTGTGGGCAGAGTTTTCTCACAGGTGAAGTTCCCCTCCAGCAAATGATTCCAGGCATTAGAGTTAATGCTATGTATAGAACTGTAATACAACATACCATATTGCTTCAGAGCAATGCAGGATATAAAAATGCTCTGAGAGCTGTAATTGGAAATGCCTTCATTTATGCTATTTAAGCCTCTCGCATACTGTGTCATTAACAGGACTCCACTATGTCCCACTCCCCCTCCTTTTTTTCATATGCTGCTACAGATCAACACGAAATAATTTCTTGTGCCATCCCCTATTGTTACAATATGTTACTTTAAGGCAGAGAACACTTGCTTTATTATTGTAAGTTATAGTGTGTGTACAGCATGCAGATAAATACCTTTCCCCTAAACGAGCTTTGGAAAATTGGGATGAGTGTGTTAAACAGAAAGGAGGTGATTTCTACAGGGGTTGGAGGCTCCAGCCACCTGGTGCTGGGATAGGATTCCTCTCCTCAGCTTCTGTTCCTCTTTCCCATCCTTCTGCTGCTACTGCAACAGCTACTGGTTTAACCCACTCATAACTACAAACTGAACTAAAGCTATAAGAGTGTGGGTCTGTACACAATTAGAATTAGGCTGCAAATTGTGGCTGCAGAAGGGTGAATTCTGTAGCTGTTGTAGGAGCAGCATTACCTTTACTTCCCTGATTCCTAACAAGTCAAGTCTTTTCTTGAGGAGGGAGAATGAGGCCTCCATCCCCACTCCCCATGGCCAGAGCCTGCAGCCTTGCAGTGGCAGGTAATACTGCCTGTTACCTTGCCCTTTTTTTTCCAAGGAAAAATCCTTTTTTCTTTATTCTGCTTCCCCAAAACAAGGTGTATTAGCTATTTTGTGATCATGTGGTATGTGAAAAAATGTGGTAATTGGGGATGCCTTTGCATTTCTGGTTTTTAGAATAATGATGACAAAATGTTTGATATCTTCCAGAGCCCCCCCCTAAGCCAACACTCCAGCACAACTTTCACAATGGTACACAGCCGGAAATCACTGTTGAATTGGTGTGCAGTGTGGCAGCAGAGAAAGTGGATGCTTATGAGTGGAGAAAGAATTATGAGCCTCTTCCAGCAAACAGCCGCTATCAGCTCCACTCTAATAACAGCATATTACTCCTACAGAATGTAATACAGTCTGATAATGGCAATTATTCCTGCAAGGTCAGCAATGAAGTTAGCTGGAATGAAACCGTCCTGCTTCTGAACCTCCAGAGTAAGTAGGTGTTTCCTCTTACCGTGCCCTTAATTGTTTGTTGGTTTAGTTTGGGTTTGCAAAATTGAGGAGGGATGTGTATGGGCAGAGGCACAGAGCTCTTTCAGTGCCTGGGGCAGACATGGAGTGGGAGGTTGGGAAAGGGAAACCATGCAGACCACTGGAGAGGTGGGGATGGGGGAGGAAGAAAACGGGGAACAGAGTCTTACTTGCTCTGACTCCTCCCTTGGGTGGTAGCTGCTAGTGTTGCAGCTGTTGCTGTACCAGCATGCGTTTGGGCTGCTGTGGGAGGTTGCAGCACAGGCTCCCTGTGGACCTTGTTTTCTTCCCCCTTTGGTGCGTGGCTGTGCCTCCCATGGCAAAGTCATTCCTTTCAGCAGTGTCATTTTCCCCCTCCCCTCCCTTCCCCCCGATACAGTCCTGGGCACGAATCCATTCCCAAAAAGACTCCTGGAGGGAGGGGGCCATATGGTGCCCCTTTTCAGATGGACCCTGGGTCGGGTGCCCTGCTCCTCCCCTCCCCTGCACCAGTTACACTGCTGTGTATGGGGCTCTGAAGAGTCAGCAGGGTTTGTTTGATAATGTTGGGACATATTTTCAAGAAATGGTGATGCCCTCCATTACACTTCTGTGCAACTCAGCATTTTCACTGTGTCACCTGGGAGTTCTGATGTGGCTGTAAAATAGATTAGTGAATTAATTGGGGTAGTATCTGTCTCACCCCACTGTACTGTACATTTTTAAGCTTAAAAATGAATGATTGTAATATGGTCACAAACACCAACAAGTGATTGATCAGCCAAGGTTATCTACATGGCAAATGAAAAACTAATTGTAGCATGTGCTTCCATACTTGTATTGGTTTGAACTAGCAGTGATGACATAGCAACACAGGATTTGGTGAATGATACCAGCCACTGTTTGTACCCCAAGTCCCTTGACAATTTGTATTCTGGTTGTTAGCATGTGTTAAAGCCTCTGCCACTGCTGCTAGACTGCTGTGGTTATCTGGAAACCTAGATGATACTTAGATTGCATATGCGGTGTCTTCCTTAAGGAGTTTTGCTGACATAACAATAGCAGTATCAACTCTGTAGTATAGACAGGTCCTGAAAGAAGCTCAGCTGCTGATGCCCACTAGCAAAATGGTGGGGTGAATCTACTCCAGTGAGAGAGTGGTGTCAGCAAGCTGTAAGCCCTGGAATTCGATCCCAACACAGCCTCCCCCAGTGTGGACACATGGCCCAGCCAAAACTGCGAAGGACGATCTGTTCCTGCATTATAGCAGAATTGATAGCAATAAGCTGACTAAAGTTCTGGAGGCAAAACTTTGCAGTAGGGAGTATCCTTGCTTTCAGAGAAGAGGAGTCATCACAACGCGAGAGACAATGAAACTAAACTTGGTTGTAGCAGCAACAGTGTTGTGCTTACATTAGAAGAAGTTTCTTTACAGCTTAATAAATTAGGTGGTAAAAGCCCTGTCCCAGTTCTTACTGTGCCAGACGTGGAAGGCAGAGATTGCTGAAGAATATATGTGCCAGTAGCAAATAGGTGGAAGGTCAGTAAAGGCAATTAAGGAAACACAGGAGAACAAGGTCAGTAGAGGGAAGACAGTTTTCCAGCTTGGTTTTACTAAAATGGAATCAATATCTTTTTAAAATCAAAACTTCATTGGACATGAGACATTTAAAACGCATTCAAAATGCACAGTTCTGCAGGAAAGATGGCACCTGGGCCTGCTAGTATCTAAGATAGATCAGGGGTTTGTGTGTGTGTAAGCCATTTATAAAACAACATTTAATTTTAAATTAGCAGATTGAAATAATTTAAAAAGGAATAAATAGCTTAAAGGAAATAGGCGAACAAGTTCTTTGGGTGAATCTGATAGCTTTTATTAGACCAACTTAAATAGTTGGGGAAAAAAATTCTTAGCAAGCTTTCGGGTTTAAAAACCCTTCGTCAGGCTGAGGAAGCCTCCGCAGTTGGTATGTGCTCTTCCTGGATGGAATGAATAATACGGAAATAACTCTCTTGAGACATGATCTACAAGTACTGATCAAAGTGAGGCTGATATTACAGTGTTTTTCACAGATTCAGCTCATATGATTTTTCCTGGAGTCATTGTGGAAGCTGTTTGTCTTTTAATTGCAGCAATGGGTAAGCAATGTGATTTTTGTGTTTGTTTGTTTGTTTCCTCATGTTTAACCTTGTCATTGAACAACTAGCAAGTCACATAACTATGTTAGCATCCATTGACCATGAATCAAAAGGAAGCAGGAAAGTGGTGATTAAATTGGGTATGGATGGAGAAGGCATAGTATGCTTCATTACATTGTGCTAGCTCTTCCTTTTGATGGTCCAAACATACCTTTTGTGGCTGTGCAACACAGAATATGAAAGATTCACTTCTCTACAACATTATAAACCTTGCACAGCTGCTATATGTTCCAGACTTCAAACTTCAAATATTGTGATTGCTCTTTATAAGCATCTCTTCTGGAAATTCTTCTGAAAGTAGGAATGGGAGATAGGAGTAAGCCCATCATACTGGAACAATCTGTACCTGACCTGTTCTTAGCACACTGAAGGTCTGTACTGTCCCCAGCGTGAGCCAAAATGGTGTAGATTGTCTTTAGAGCTAGCTTTGGGTTAAAGTTAATTGTGTACTTATAACAAATTACTGGGGTCATCCAGACTATTGGAAAAACAGAACATTACTAGCAATGTATCTCCCTCTGCATACAAGATATCTTGTTTAAAGAGCTTCTGAGTGGCCGAGGAGCCGTCTCATTTTCAAAATTCATTTAAAAACTGGCTTCAAAGGCCTTTAGACTTTCAGTAAGATTTGATTCCCAGTAAGATTTGAGCACAATTGTCCCATTTTTTTCCAGAAGGAAATTTGGCTCATGATTCATTGAGGTGATTTTAAAGTGTTACTCACTCCCTTATGTTAGACCCTGACTCCACGCAACGCCCAACGACTAGGAAGACGATGGTCCAATTGCCCATGGATCCTGTTGCTCATTAGCCAGAGCAAAGCAGGGAGCAAACACCAGCACACGTTGTTCGCAGCAGCTTTATTCAGAGACAGCTTCGGACAAGGGTCTCATGCCATAAGAGATGGGGTCCTGCCTGAACAATAGGTTCATCCTATTGTTCCTACATTTATACTTTGGTTTATACTCATTAACATTCACTCCTCCTTCGTCCTGCCTTCTGTTCTACCCATTTCTCCTCTCATCTCAAGCTCCGCCTCTGTTTACTGTTTGCTTCATTAACATGGCATTGCTTATGCATTTCATTCATTTACATGCCTCTCTGATAAGAGCGCATGAGTAAGACCATGAACTTTGGTACTCTCAGTCACTTGCTGGTTCTTTCTTGTTCTTTGCTGGTTTCAGCACTGTCTCCAAGGTTTCACTTCCATCTTATCTCCTGATGATAGCTGGTGGGCTACGTCTTATTCTTACATAGCAAATCATACGTTTACACACTATCCTTTTGTTAGGAAACTGCTTGCTTAAGCATTTGCAAAGTTAGTTGCTTTTAATATATTAGCTAGTCTTGTGACCAGCAGGTTTTTGCTGAGACACAGGTTAAAACCTTCATTCAGCTGCACACTCAGCACTCCCATATTCCATAATGTTACCCCAACATCCACAATCCATATTGTCACCCTAACACTCCCTCACAGAATTAGTATAGGCAGCAAAAGAGAAACCCAGCCGATTCTCCAGAGGTCATCGCTCTCCCCTCACAATACACCCCTTGGGCCTGGCACGGTAGATAGTGCTTTTCTGTTACTTGGACAGAGGACTGACCTTTTTGCCTATCATTGGCAGTGGGTGAGAGAGTGCTTAGGCTACTTGCTTTCTAGCCTGGGACCGAGCCAGGAACTGGAATGATGGTACTATAGGGATATTTTCTTTTTTTATTGGCATGAATATGCAGCTGAACATTAACTGGATGCTTGGTGCTATTATAGCACTATTAGTGCCTTTCCATTTTATAAAAGTTGGAATAGGGGTTAAGGGTTAAGACTTTTTTTTTTTTAACTTGTCATGGAGACTAGGTATGCTATTTGTACAGGAAGGCCCTGATTTTTCTTAGGATTATCATTTTACTTTGTGTTTCTAATTTTTACACAAATTTTGGGAATTAATAAAACCATATTACATTACTATTTCTACTGTACAAACTAAAAGACATTAATTTTAACACACACAAAACAAATACAAAAGGGAAACAAAGGATGACAATAAAATGAACAATTTAGTCAGCTGTCTTGATGTTTGGCACGGCTGAACTCTGCGAGGTTATGGAGGTGATGCTCTGCGTGATGTATCATTTTGTAGCCACTCTTCAGGTATTTCATAGCTTATCAAGAAGTTTTGCTTATAATTCAACATAGTTGATATGACAACTACTTATAATAACAGCATTTTACAGACTTAGTAAAATACAATCATTACACAACAGAGTTAAGCTTGATTTTTTTTTTTTTTTTTTTTTTTGTACTTAGCAAACTTCTTCAGTGATGATTTTATCCTGTAAAATACAAGAGCAAAAAAGGGAGGGGCTCACCCTCTTAGTTAGTTTTTCATACACTTGTGGCTGGCTTTGCTTGGCTTACAGCCAGGTTGGTGTTCATTAAAAAATTTCTTCTCCTTGCATCTTGCAGAGGCTGCTTTTATAGCAGTATTTTTTCTCTTAAAGTGGCAGGCGTTTTATGCCACACATTTCTTCTCCTTGGTTTGCATCAAGGGCTTTTCTGTTGGAGTATGCTCCCCTTAGCTTTTTGTTAATGAAGGATAACTCACAAGAAGGTGGGAGCTAGGGTTTTAAGGCACTCTGTATTTGCCTTTGCCTCTTCCTTAGTGTGGTTATTATGCAGCATTTTGCAGAGCCTACCCTGCTACAGGTAGCGTTACTACACTAACCATATCTAGGAGGGTAGCAGTTTCAGGTCATACTCAAGATTAAACTTTCTATTCTCCAGTTTTGATCTTTTTTACTTCTTATGGGCACAGTCTCTGACTTTTGGGCTTTTTGACCCCCCCCTCGGGTCAGTTGAGATTGCAGGCTTTTGGCTCTGGCAGCTCTAACAGTGAGTTTTAATTTAGCAGTCCAGAAAAGGGGCACAGAAAAGATCACTGTTAGAGCTGCCAGAGCCACGTTTTCCACCTTAAAAAAAAAACCTTTAAACTACGCCTCTGCAGAGAAAAACAAAACATGCTTCTGATAAGCTTACTCCCTTTTTCCGTGCCCAGAGTAACTTAAATTAATTCTGGGCACTGATCTTTACTTTCACAGCTGTTAACAATTTTTATCTCTTTTAGGCTTTTCACTGTTCCTGGAGCAGCAAGGGGGAGAGAACAAAGTTTCTCTTCTCACTTCTAATCACAAATTCTCTGGCACTGCTTGAATAGATGTCTAGTAACATACCTTTGTTTCTTTCTGTGCTTCCTGCTTTTAGTTTCTGGTACACACAGGAGTAGTATATAGGCTCACCGCCCTTCAATGCAAGTGTGACAGGTGGGCGGGACTGGAAGGCCCTGCCCCCTGCCCCCAGTCACGTGGTGTGTGACATCAGCAACTCCACCCCCACCCCCAGTCATGTGGTGTGTGACACCACCACCACATGGTCCATGACAGCCGAAGGGCAGCCCATGCAGACCCCCAAAGCCCAACCCTTCATGCTGCAAGAACTGCCTTAGATCACGTGGTACAGTTATGACCTATCAGGTCCCAGACTGCTCTAGCCCCTGGAGCACAGGTGTGGCCTATGGGGTGGCAGGGTGGTGGTGTGACCCCACTAACAAACCACCCCACCACCCCCGACCAATTGGCGGGGGTTTCAGAGGCCTTAGACCTCCGAAGAACGATGCTGAACCAATTAGAACAAGTAGAGGGGGTGGGATTTAGGCTGCAAGCCCCACCAGGTCTATCTGCTTTCCCAAACGACCCCTCTGTTTATCTGAGACCATAAGGCAAGCAGGGGTGGGTATGGATTCTTTCACAATGCCTGTAGGCCCACTCACCACAACCCCAAGATGGCCTCATAGAAAGTGTTACCGTAGAAATAGTTTTGAGGAGGAGACCCGGCTCCTAGCCCAAAGACTCTTTGAGATGCCTGACCCTGTTCAGGAAGACCCAATGAACAGGCAAATGGAGGAGGCCCAGGCCCCCGAATTAGACGAGAATTTGGAAGATAGTATCTTTGTGCCTTGGTTTAAATTTGTCCTCAAGCGTTTGAATGCACCACATGGGTGTTAGCGTGGGGTGGGTGTGGGGGCAGCAGTTACCAGACACGTCTACACAGGAGGCTATGTTAAAGGAAGTTTATTACTCTCCTGGTGAAGCTGGCAGTTTTGGTGGGGTGAACACGCTTTTTGAAAAAGCAGAATAAGGTTCTGAACAGAAGCGGGGTGGCCGCCTGGCTTTCAGACCAGGACGCTTACACCCTACACCAACTGGCGAGAAGACGTTTTAAAGGAAACAAGACTGTTGTTTCAGATATTGATGCGCAATGGCAGGCAGATTTGGTGGATATGCAGCAATTTTCCAAGCACAATCGTGGGGTTAAGTTCATCTTAACAGTGATAGACATATTATCAAAGTATGCCTGGGCCATGGGTCTAAAAGCCAAGTCAGGCGGTGAAATAGCTTGGGCCTTTAAAACCATTTTTACAGAGGGTTGTGTACCTTGAAAATTACAGACTGTATCGGGGAAAAGAATTTTTAAATAAGTCTTTAAGCAACCTGTTAAAACAGTATAATATTCACCGTTCTGTGACAAATAGTGAAGTGAAAGCATTGGTGGTAGAGAGGTTTAACAGAACATTAAAATCAAAGATGTGGAGGTATTTTACAGCCTGCAACACCTGTCACTACGTTGATGTGTTACCAGAGTTTATATAGAGCTACAACCACAGTTTTCACAGAACTACCCACACCAGGCCTGTTGATGTGAACTTCACAAACTCTCAACAGGTGTGGAGAGCCATGTATGGGGAGTATTTGAAAATAAAACCAGTAGCACCTGTGTTTCGAAAAGGAGACCATGTGAGGGTGTCTAGGACCTAAGGGAGGTTTGAAAAAGTTTATGAACAAACATTCATCGATGAGATTTTCATGGTGGATGCAAATTTGATGCA